TTTAAAAAAAAAAACTACTTAATCTTGTGACATTGGATTAAACACATCTCAAATCAATAGAAAGCTAACAGTTATGTTGGTGAGTTTTATGAGGTATATGTTGTTTGGTTATATTTATAGAATTATGTTTGAAAATAATGTTTTCTGTGCTTGAAGTGCATCTTATTTATTACATTTGCTTATTGCAGCAAGTTGCAGACATTATTTCTATGTGACCTGCCAGCGGTGAAGGATATAGAGTCAACCATGAATTCATTACGGATGGCAATACCACAGTGTGAAATCTCATATCTTTCACTTGAAGGACTGAAAGATTTGAAAAAATTAAAAGATGTGAAAGACATTTTGAGTAACTTGACTAATAAATAACTATAAGAGACTCAGTCTGTGATTTTATGAATGTTTATGTGATTTAGTTCCATGTACAGAATTATCATCTAACCATAAAATTAGTCTGACAGTTGAATTATGGTTATTGTGGTGTTCCTGTAATTCAGGCTGCAGCTTTGAAGGATTTACGAACCAGAGTGCCATCTTGTGTCGAAATGAGTTAAAGCATGTTTGGGTAATGGTTGAGCATGTGTGAAAATAAAACCAACATGGTTGCCAGATTACCAGTTTTAATCAAATCACAAAGCATCAGTAACCCACCATGTGTGATGTTCATATAAAGTTTGAATAAAATTGGCCCAGGCTCCTGAGAAATGTTTTATAAGTTCAGATTTTGTGATATTATTTTTATTACTAAAATATCCATCAGTCATTCAAATTTCACCGAAATGCAAAAAAAACTGAAGACAAAATTCACTAACATTATGTCTTGCCTTTACCCCAACTTTAACTGGTGAAGAGTATCTGAAAATGGATACTAGGACATGCAAACATCAGAAGTTTTAAACAAAAGGAAAGGTCAATGAACATAAATAGGTGCATACATACCTTGTTTTAGTGTAAAATTTGTCTAGGCATGTCTAAGAAACAGTATACTATATTCAAAATTGTAAAAGCATTGTGTGCCGTATTTGCTACCCAGTAACTACAAAATAGGGTGCAGTGACCCAAGCAGACTTAATTTGGCTCTTTGCCTGCCAAGTTCAGATTATTCAGCCATCATCTCAACATGTACAATGTACGTCTTTCCCATTACATCACAAGGCTTCCAGTGTGAGATACTCCATTCATATTGCCTATGGGGAATTCACAGCTTGTCGTTCATAATGACATGCAGCTGAAGAAATACTCTTTGGTCTGCAGATTCTGTCAAGCAAGTGTGTAATAAAGTGTTCTTCTACTTAAAGATAAATAATACTTCAAATGTATTTCAATTTAAATCTGAACTTTTGAAAACTAGTTTGGTCTGCACATTGTCCCAGTGCACTAATTTAGATGTATCATTGAAAACTGACAAGATGTTCTGCAGATATCCAAGGAACATATATATACACACAAAGTAAGTACAAAGACAACCATTGTGTCAGCACCAGAGACAATAAAAAAAAATCAACACTTGAATTAGCAGATTTATGAAAGTTTAAATTCTACAATAAAAACAGCAATATCTTTCAAAATGAACAAACTTTTTTTATTTGTACAAAATTAAATTAAATTTGAATAAAATACAGTACACGTTGAAAGAAACATTTGTGTTTAATACAGTATGATATCCCAATTTAAGACGAGGCAACACTCTATATATACATGTATACAGCAAAGAAAGGGCATGCACATTCAGTAAAATTCAATTCAACTGATATTCAATTTTAGAAATCAATACCCTTGTAATTTTTCTTGCAATGTATTTCTTGCTAAAATGTGTGATCCGGATTGTGCATTGTATTCAAGCAAAATAATTTTGTGTGGTCCTTATTTTTCTTACCAGCCAACGTTTATATTACATGATTCAGTCATGGTACATAAAATATTTGTT